CTCTTTACCCATTCTTCCTCCTGCCGTCTGCTCCGTAGTGACTCTGACTTTGTTTTGTTCTTCATCCAGCTGCAGTCAGTGATCAGGAAGATCCTCACCTACTTTCAAGACTTCTCCGTCCTCTTCTCCATGGTGAGCAACCAGTTCAAACTGAACATGATGAATGAGGCCGGAAATAATCAGTAACTACCTAGCTACCTTCATCGTTCCATATTTCTACATGTTTCCCAATGTTTTTGTTTCCCAGGAGCGTTTCCTGCCGTTCCTAGACATGTTCCAGAAGGACAGTGTGAGGGTGGAGGTCTGTAGATCCATCATGGAGGTCTTCATCAAGTAAGAGTTTGATAAAATAATGAGATTTATTTTAGTTTGTGACAAAAAAGTGGCAATTTCTCACAGATGTGTTTGAAATGTTTGTTCTCCTGCAGACACCAGGTGGAGCTCACCAGAGACCCGGTCATCCTCAACGCCATGTTGCACATCTGCAAGACAATGCACGACTCTGTCAAGTAGGGTATTTGTTTGTTGTGTGTTTGTGTTACACCTATTCCTTTTACATTTTAAATCTAGTTAATGTTAATGTTTGAACACCTGGTTTTCTCCTTAGTTTCAGCTCTGTTAATGTAGATGAGGTTATTAAGTCTTTGGTCAGTCACCTGTCTGCTCTCTGTACTGCAGCGCTCTCACTCTTGAGGATGAGAAAAGATCTTTGGCTCTGTTGATCATCGGCTTCATCCGCATGGTGAGACTCGCCAGACGTTTGTCTGTGCTTTAGAAATAAGTCAACGAATCCCACAAAACAGCCCAAACCAAGTATTCATTAGTCTGTCTCTCAGTACTTTGACTTCCATACTCTCACAGCACCAAGTACATACATACTTAAAAACAGCTCACAAATACAAGGTTGCATTTTCTTTAAAGATTAAATAATCTGTTGAAACAGCAGGGCACTGTAGTTTATAGGAAATGTTACTTAAAGGGTAGCTTTTATATCTTTCAACCTGGACCTTATTTTCCTATGTTTTTGTGTCTTAGTGACTAACAGGGCCAGTCAGCGAAACTGGCTGCTACATAATCCTTGAGGGCAATTGCTCACCGTCAAAGTACGTCCAATAAAGGAGCTTGTTTTTGCCTCTGACAGGTTCAGATTGTTAGAGTCAGCAAATTGTGAAATGTGAAAAATATCCGGAGAGGAACAAGAGGGAGGCTGGGTATTAGAGAGGCAGCGGGGAGAAACAACGTGTAGGGCTCAGTGAATAAAAGGTTTTCCAACCAAAGCAGAGTCGATAATAGTTAGACTAGACTAGATTAACAAAGGTTTTGGTCAAGTGATTTGAACGTAGCGATATAATTGCTGTTTCTGGTTGAACAAAAAGGATTTTATTCTTTCACAAAAATGTCTATCTTTGTAGGGTCCTTCATGTTCAAAACAACCTGAGCCTGTCCGTAGTAACAACAAGCGTGGAAACTGTGCACAATTGTCCAATCCGTTGTTGTCACCATTATTCACTTAGATGTAAAACCAAATACAGACGTTACCTTTTATTTAGGAGAAAACTGTTTATTTATACACATCTGTTGCTCATAAGAGTATCTCCATCAGCAGGACGGTGTGTGTGGAATTGACTGAAACAAACGTGTCACTCAATCATGAAACGTTTTTCCTACCGATTCAACTTTCTTTTGACCTCTAAATGTTCAGAAAATGTTTAAAAAATGTAACCAATGCAACAGTTCATTCTTAATTTTCACATCTTTGTTTGACCCCTGTGAACAACCAAAACGACACAATCATAATCCTGGGATTAAACCTCAAACGTCATACAAGTAAATGTACTAAAATACAGTTGTTCTACTCTTTTCTCTCTTCTTACACTCATATACTCTCTCTGTGTAGGTTTCTTTTGGTCGTGACTTCGAGCAGCAGTTGAGTTTCTGCGTGGAGGCCAGAGCCACTTTCTGTAACCTGGAGCCAGTGCTGGTGCAGCTCATTCACGTCAGTATAAATCTGAATGTTTGACTTGTGTGTTGTATTCATGCACACACACACACACACACACACACACACACACACACACACACACACACACACACACACACACACACACACACACACACACACACACACACACACACACACACACACACACACACACACACACACACATCATCCTTAATGTTCACCTTGTCTTCTTCCAGACGGTGAACCAGCTGGCGATGGAGACCTGCAGGGTGATGAGAGGGAGTCACTCCAGAAAAACGGCCGCTTTCGTCAGGGTGAGTCAACTACGCACGTCACCTGACCCCCCTGCAGGCCACCGTACATTCCTGCAGGAAGACGTTTCAGCAGTTCCAGCATTGGCTTCAGATATCTTAAGAGGACTGTTCTCTTTCCCTCTCCTCCAGGCGTGTGCTGCCTACAGTTTCATCACCATCCCGTCTCTCAGCAGCATCTTCAGTCGTCTCAGCCTGTATCTGCTGTCTGGTCAGGTTGCGTTGGCAAACCAGTGTCTCTCTCAGGGTGAGCCGCTGCTTCCTCTCAGATTTAGCAAACTGGAGATGTTAGTATGTTTTGCTTTGTTGTAGAAATTTGTTATCTCACTCCTTTCCTCTCTTCTTCCCTTGCATCCTTCCTTCCTTCCTTCTCCCCTCCCTTTCTTTCTAACTCTATATTCCTTCCTTTTTCCTTTCTTTTGTCTCATTACCTCCCGTCCTCGTTACCCTCCTCCCTCTCTCCATCCTTCTTTCCACACCTCCAGCGGACGCTTTCCTAAAAGCAGCGGTAGGTATTCTTCCGGACGTTCCTCGCTCCATCAGCGTGGAGGGAAAACTTCGCTCTTCTGAGAGTTTCCTACTCGACTTCATCAACAACTTCCTGGCTACGCTGCTGGTTGTCCCGGTAACATCAATCATTCTCCTTTCTGTGGATTTAGAGTCAGAGGGAGAGGAAGATAAACAGGCTAATCTCCCTGAAACCCCCTTTATAGCTATGTGTGTGTGTGTGTGTGTGTGTGTGTGTGTGTGTGTGTGTGTGTTTGTGTGTGTGTGTGTGTGTGTGTGTGTGTGTGTGTGTGTGTGTGTGTGTGTGTGTGTGTGTGTGTGTGTGTGTGTGTGTGTGTGTGTGTGTGTGTGTGTGTGTGTGTGTGTTTGTACGTACGTGTGTTTGTGTGTGTGCGTTTGCAGGACCATCCAGAGCATGGCGTGCTCTACCTGGTCCGCGGTCTGCTCAACATGGTCCAGGATTACACCTGGGAGGACAACAGCGACGCCAAGGTGCGGGTCTACGTCAGTGCTCTGCCCCTGCTGGCCGCCATGAGCCAGGAAACCTACCTCTACTCCATCCCTAAAGGTACACACACACACACACACTTCTTTTTTCTTCGTCCTTTTACAAGTTGTAGTGGTTCATAGAGGGATTTTAGTGAGTATTTCTCCAACTAAACCTTGTTCTCTTTCCTGGCCCCAGTGGACTCCAATGAGACACTTTATGGAGGAGACCCCAAGTTTCTATCAGAGATCAACAAGCTGTGCGAGACCCTGATCGGACAGATCCTGGACAACCTGAAGGCACTCGGACGGGACGAGGTGAGGCAGGAACCGGCTCACTGCTATGTTTTCTCCTCTTGTGGCTTTTTTAATATCTAATGCTGCACTGCAGTTTCCTCACAAGCTAAACATGACTCAACTGTATGTTGTCAAGGTGTCAGTGTACATCAGTATTCCAGTCATGAACAGCACCGACATCGTTCTTCTTGCCTCCTTTGCAGCAGAGCACAAGGCGTCAGGGCGCTCTGGCCTTTTCCCTGTTCGGTGTCCTGCTGGCCCACGGCGACCTGAGGAACAACAAGCTGAGCCAGCTGGCCGTCAACCTGTGGAACCTCTGCCACAAACACGGATACTGCGAGACTGGTATCTCAGTGAGTTTTCACACACATTCACGCTGCTCTACCCATATTTCCTAAAATGTTTGCTGTCCTCAGTTCAGATTACGGTCTTTAACGCACTTCGTGTGTAGCCTCAGTGACTTCCTGTGTCGTGTCTTGCTGCCAGGTTCGGACTCTGGAGTACATCAAACACCAGGCTCAGCAGCACGACATGACTCACCTGACAGATACGGTCCAGAGGCTGGCACTGCAGTCTCGCACCTGAACCTTGACCTCAGCGACCTTTGTAAAATGTTTGTGTAAATAAAAGATAGCAAGAAGCACAGAGAAGAAGAAAGAATGCCTTAATGTATTTTGTGGGAGGATATTGGGAGTATTTGAAGGGGTGTGGGGGATAAAAAAAAGCACTTTGGATACTTCATTTTACATTTTGGCACTGAATATTTAGTGTGGACCAATGTGAAAAAAAACCATATTGATACTTGTAGACTGAAGTTACACAAAGCTGTTCTCGGGCCAAAATTCCTTGTTTTTGCCATTTCTAAGCTTAATTAAAGTATAATTATCTCAGGTTTTGTTAATTTCTCTTATTCAGTGTGGCGGTACATTCAATAAAGTAAGCCACAAAACCCTTAAATGAATGATCTGAAGTCTAAAAAAGGAAGAAAAACTACATTTCCCTGCATGTTTTCTGCTCTTCTGTTTAATCGCAGGCGGCGACTTTTAATACAAAAAGAGGACGAACAAGCCAATAAGCATCATGTCTTGTGTTGTTACCTGCCGTGTATCCTTGCACCTTAAACAGAAATAAAAACGTACGACTGAACTTTCACAACTGTTCTGTATTGCAACATAATCTAGCATCATGCACACAACTTATATGATATTATTAGTTTAACAATAGTGTTTCAACAAGTTGTCCTCTTCATGCATTTGAAGAAATAAATATTCATCTGTATTTAAATACTGATCATGACTATGAATCTGTTTTTACTCGTTCTGATTGATACCGACTGCTTCCTGGATTTTTTTTTCAATCTTTTCTTTCCCATAACCCCATGTACCAACTGTTTTTAAATACACTCCATGATGCAATAAAAAGGGGACAGGACAACATTTGTCTCAAGACATTCTCAAACTCTTCTCAGTTGTAGTTTATTTACTCAATTAGTGAATCATCGAAAAGGCAAACACTCCCCTTTTAGTTCTGAAAGAAAAACAATGATCAAAAGCAAACAGCTGTAATGATGTTCTCTGACACAGATAGGCCTTTGGTCACACACCTTTTTTTTTTTTTTAAGGCAAGATAATTAAACAGGAGAATTCCAACAAAACTGACTTTCAGGTTAGCAAATAAAAATCTCCCGGCATGTCAAACTAAACAGTGATACTAAATAGTGATATGAGTAGTAGAGCGTGTTCTGTGGTACTCTATAACTGACTGATCTCTTTGGAAAATGTGTTCTGTTGAGGAACCTAAAAGTCAATTTTGCCTTGATTTCCCTTTAGCTGCTCGACCTCAGTGGTTTAACTGGGAGGTCTGCAGACAATCCTCTTTCAGAAATGGGACTTTCTAATAACAAACACAATACTGTTAAAGCTGAGTCATTTAAATATTTGTTTGCAGTTTTATTATAGGTTTTTCTCCTCGATCTCTAAAGCACTGTTGTTAACTCTTCGTCTGGCACATCATCGGTCTCTCGGTATCTTCAACATTAGATAGATGCAACCACAGCAGAGCTTGCACACTGACAACTCAACACTATTCTATCTGTCTCACTGTAGCACTACGACATTGAGCCAGCCAGTCCCATATGGCGCGCCACAATGGCCAATATTAAACCAGCATTTTATGAAACAATGAAACAAATGATCATGTAAATAAAGTAGTAAAATAATGCAAACTTAAAGTAATATTACCCCAAAATGAGCCGAGTCTCCTCAAGCTACATATTATTTAATTTATGTATTTTAATGAATTCATTAAGTAAAATTATTTCATTATTCTTATTTAATATTGGCCATTTTGGTGTTCTACCATCCCACACAGATAATTACATAGAAGTAAAAGATCTCTGGACTTTCCTAGTATTAAACTGAAAATTTACTTCAGGAGGGGGGATTTGACCCCTTAAAAGATTATCTGGAGAAGCTGGGGCTTTAAAAAAAAATCCTGACCTGGACTGATGGAGTGTCACTAAGAGGACAAAAAGAAACTGACGATTGAATGACGTCAGAGGAGAAAGCTGTCCAGAGGAACGAGCAGAGTGTGTTCGCTGAGGGCTGAGGGCAGTTAACACTGATAAACAGAAGCTATTGAAGGAATCACACCTCTGATTGTGCAACCGGCTGAACTGATGTTGGACAACTGATCCACCTCCAAAAAGAATTGTTTAACGGAAATAAAATAAAAAAATGGAAGCAGAATCAGAGACTAAACCAGAAGTAGTCGGGTAACGAGCTGGTTTAGATGTTAGCATTTTGTAACGTGAAAAGCAAGATTCACTCTAACAGACGTTTTCACAGCGTCTCATTTTGCTCCTCTAATAAAGATCACTTTACAGACTTTGAAGGTAACCCCAACTTTGACTTTTTATTTTTCACAGCGACATGTACACAGCCAGAGCCAACGACCTGCCAAACACATAAGTGCTTCAAACCACTCATTGCCGACAGTTTTTTTTATGACTTGGCAACTGTAACAACAAAAATGCCAAAATTAGACCTCTCCACATAATTCCTCTTGGAGATGCAAACATGCTCGGCAGCAGTTCAGCGAGTGCGCAGTCGAAAGTGAAGCCTCTACAATGGAGCTGCTTGTATACAGACAGCTGTATGTTTGCAGTAATTCACTTAAAGAGAAATGACAGCCACTGCTGTGACCCGCAGAGGAGACACTGAGCAGAAAGGGGTGGATATTCAAGGTGCAAGATGACCTCTGATAATAACTTACAAACAACTCTGGTGTCTGTTTGTTCTTGTAGCTAACGGACAAACAAGATGAGAAACTGAAAGGAGGCCTTCACTACAAGTACAATTTAATTTACTGCTGAAAGAAGAAACTTTAAAAACGGAGAAAGTGGTTGAAAAAATGCAAACAACAGCAACACCACGGCTCTGATGGAGCTCCGAGCGGCTGTCTGGAAAACAAAACAGTTGGATAATTGTCGTGAGTTGACCTCTTATAATGATGTCATTAACAACATTATGAAGAGGGGTTTCACGTGTGATGCTATCCTAACTGGGAGACTCCAACCACTCCCATCTCTTAGGAGCAGGTTTTCACAGGGAGAGGGCAGTTTGTTGTGTTTTAAAATCATACACCCTTAACTGAGAGCAAGAGTCCCAAACTAACAAAAATAATGATTAAAATAAAATAATCTTACAATAATTCAACACGGGAAGAGTTTGCAGTTTGGCGCAGTCAGTCCCGGCAGTGCTGAGAGGGATGTTTTGGCGGCCCGATACTTGCTCTGATTTTAGACTGGGTGGGGAAGGGGTTTTTGGAAACAGCACGCGTCTGAAAACACAGGCCGGCGCCTCGCCCCGCCCCCGTTGTGGAGGTCAAGGAGGGAGGCGGTGTGGTCTTCCTCTTTTTTTGTGTGTGTGTTAGTTTGTTCTCTTTGTCCTGGGGCAGGCTCAGTCCAGCTCTATGGGGCTGCTGTCCTCCTGGGCTTCTTCAGCCGCGTCATCCTCCTCGCCTGATCCCATCAGGCTGTTCAGCAGGTTTCCTGTAAGATGCAACACAGGGGTCATCATTCTTATTATCCCTTAGTTATTTTAGAAGATAGAAGTTTAAGTATTATAAATGGCATTTTAAAGGAACAGTTTAGGAAATACGCTCATGTTGTTTCTTGCAGAGAGTTAGTAGACCGATATCACTCTCATTATTTGTATGTAAAATATGCAGCTGGAGGCAGCAACTAGTTAGCTTAGCTTAGAATAAAGACTGGAAACAGTGAAACAGCTAGCCTGCTTCTGTCCAAAGGTAACTACGATACAAACTCACCTCATGGCTGGTTTCTACCGGACAACAAAACTACAGGAAGTCACTGCATCCAACCAATACTTGGCTCCATTTACAGATGTGAGACTTGTATCTAAGCAAATGAGCATATTCAAACTAACCCAAATGTCAGACTAATTCTGTCTATATTAAACCACTATTATATAAATTCCACAAATTCCACATAGCACACCTAATCTGTAAAAAAAAGGTTGAAAAGTGTGATTCAGATTGAAGAGTTATTAAAGTTGAGTTTTATCAGCTCAGAAAAACTTATTAGTATTATAATCCTTCATAAACTCATGGTCCACTCACCTAGCAGTCCACCGTATGATGGGGACTGTTTCGGTGGAACTCCGAAGAAAAGTTGTCCTATTCTGTCGAGATACTAAGGAGCCGGGGAGACATCCAAAGGAAGAGGAGGACAGAGACACATGGTTGTGAAAAAGACGGCTTAGAAAATGACAGCCGAAGACAGTGACTATGTTTACATGGACTTAAAGATTTCATCATAACATAAATAAGACAATATTTAAATAAGACACTGTAATGTTTTGATTACTTTAACCCAAATAAGGTTATAGTCAAAGCTATTATTATAATATCACACATATGTAATGCACCTGCAGTCACATTACTGAAGGTTATACATTATTCATGGGAAGAAATGACTGAGCATCGAGCAGCAACACTCACCTCATTATACATGGGGTCCCTCTTCAGGGAAGGTTGATATTGCTCGCATAACACTGTGAAAACTGTTAATTTACCCCTGAAGAAACAAAGAGGAGAAGCATTTTAAATATTGTACATTAATCAATCTGTTTTTCAAAGACGAACACTTTATTGATATTAAACGAGTTACTGCCGTAACTTAAGACGTAAGATGTATTACTGATGTATCAGTAAGAAGTCAGCTAATGTTAGCTTAGTTATGTTATTACATGCTCAGGGCAGACCCCTGCAGGAGAGATATACAACAGAATAAGACATTATTATGTGACACTGAGGTCATAATAAAAAGAATATATTTGAATAAATGTTAATGAGTGTTAAAGACAACATTTTCCTCACCCATCCACTGCCAGCAGCAGAAACCAGATAAAGTTTAGTAGAGGCTGGACAAACGGAGGGCCCTTCTCTATGGACGGGTGTTTCTCTGTGTATGTGCTGAACACCACGGAAGCGCTGTTTTTGTTCTTTAAGCAGAGGAACCTGGAGGGTGGAGGTTCAGAGGAGGAAAGGACAGAAATAGAAACAGTACAAAAAGGATCAAGACAAAAGGAGAAGATGGGAAAGAAAACGTGACAGTAAGTGTGACACAGACGAAGGAGGAGGGAGAGAGAGAGAGAAAACAAACAAACAGACAGATCAAAGACATTTTAAAGCTGCTGACAGACAGAAAATGGATATGACTGCAGGCCAACATGCTGAAGTAGTATTTATTTCGCTGAACATGGAAGGTGATTTCAGCTTTTACATTGTGACAATATCAAAAAACGTATTTTGATGTTTTGGAGTGTGGGAGAGATGCTTCACTTACTGTAGGACGGCCTGCGCCACAAACATGTCGACCTCGCTGCGGAAGCCTCGTGACGCCGAATACTCCACCAGCATCTGTGCACAGCCCTCCCCGTCAGACGAATGCAGGAAGTGGTAACGAGACTCACTGTAGTTTTGCTCTGGCACACACACACACACACACACACACACACACACACACACACACACACACACACACACAAATCAATATTTCAATTGATTAAATGTGAACTTTGAAGCAGGGACATGGCAGTGCACACTAATAACAATATAAAGGGCAACACATACAGACGGAAGAATTAGTCTGGAAGAACGGAGGCTGGGATGGGCCAATCGAGGGAGCATCATCATAACTTGTGATAAGCATTTGTTATCATCCCCTACACTTAATAAACTAAATGATTAATTGATTACCTTTCCACAAGGTGACAGCCAACAGCTGGTGGAGTTTTGGGTGACCCAACTTGCTGGATCCTCCTGTGGACCATTTTAAGGCTCTGGACACAAACGCTACTCTCTCTGGGGAGTTCTGGTCCATCGGGCTGAACAGCTTAGCCAGGTTTTCTTCTCACACACACACACACACACACACACACACACACACACACACACACACACACACACACACACACACACACACAGTTGTACAACATCAAAGAATGTTCCTCTCATCTGAAATGTCCTGTTCTACTGTCCTCTTGAAAGGTGGACTTCGTCATGACAATGCATTCTTCTTGTAAATTAATACTTCCATAAAAAGAAACAAATGTCCTTGTATGTGTTTTGAACTTGTGTGAATGAGTGGCAATAGACGGACAACATAATCTGCAACTATCCACTCTTAAACACCTCATTACCAGTGCTAGTTTAGCACAGGTAGTCCTGCAGGTGAACTGAAGGCTGCCACTCACCTAATATTTCCTCGTCAACTTTTGCCTCAGATTTCTCCAACACTTCCAGTACCAGCATGGACAGGTCTGCTGCACTGTTTTGCTGGAGATGAAAACACAACCAACTGTATTTTTAATTTTTTAATTCCATATTAACACAAGAATTTATGATTTTACCCAAGCACCTTGAGGGCCAGGGAGGGGACGCTTAATCAGTCTATACCCATATATCATTAATTCATCACCCAACTGGCAGACTGACATCTAATTTGTCTCTCTTGGCTTAGAGTTGTGTGGATGGATGATTAGGGCTAGAAATCTGATGATTCATTCACATGTGCAGCATTATAAGTGTGTAACTTTTTTCAAAATAACATTTATGTGCACTTTAACCAGTATTCATTTTGGCTTTCTGCACACAGCTTCACACAAAGATGGACTCCATACAGCGGTTTTGTTCTTACATGAGCTGTTTCACTTGTAAATGACAAGCTTATAAACACTACTCTTACATTATACACATCTTCATAACAAATACACTTCCCCAACAATGCTACTTTGAAACATCATCATCATTTCCCTATTTGGGGCGTTTCCATGAACGTGTGCACACTGAACACCAAACAGAGAGAAATCTCGTGTAGCATGTACCTGGTTATAGCTGAAGAAGAGTAGAGCGCCATTGTACATCAGCTCCCTGGCTTCAGCATGTTTTGCCTGTGACATGTACCTGATGGAGGACAGGAGTGTCAGCACATGAGATATCCTTATCCAGACAAACACAAGTTTTGCTTGCATCACTCAAAACCAGTTCTGCACTGGGCTGCAAGATAAGATACAGTACATGCACACCGGGTATGCTTAAGATACAGAACAAGGTACAGATGTTAGGACAGCTGCAGTACTTTTGAGACTTGCCATGTTGCATGTATGTGAGGATTTCAGGAGTTAATATTGCCCGAGAGAGCAAGCCGGTGACGAAGAAGCAGGAGGGTATCAAACTGACTCTTCTCATATGGGAAATGCTTTAACTGGACTGGATTCAGAACAAATCACACTTAAAACCTGCTAGCAAACTATGCTTGAGGCACACAGCAATCCAGGTTGGCAGCACAACTAAGCTGTACCAAACAGCATCCAGGTTTCCATACTGTAGTGGAGGAGGTAGCCATGAACACCAGTGTTACTTAATGAATTAGACACTGGACAACAGACCATAACTAATTCTCACTAGCCTTATCCCAGATTCTGTAAGCTTTACTAGTGGCCATGTAAGCATAACCAGCTATAAATCAAGACTAAATAAATATACCAGCCTGTAGGCAAAGACATATCTAGCCATCATAGTTCAGACTGCGGCGATGCAGTGTGTAGCTATCTGGCTATCTAGCTATCTAGCTAAATGCTAACACAGCTGGACAGCTTCAACAGTCGTCTAGGAAACGACAGCGGTTAACAAAGCAGTTAACCGTTATAAGTCCGTTAATTTATAAACGACTAATCTTTACTAATGACGCACAACCACAGGCTGCCTAGCTGTCTTGAATTAGCAGTGAAGCTAACTCCGCTTCGGCTATCATCAGTAGTGATGCTAAACACGTAGCTCGTTAACTAGCCGTAGCTAGCATTCCCATTTTGTGACTGTGGAAGATCGACAGAGCAGCTGTCCACACAAACAGACGGACGGACACAAGTGGGCGGGTCCGCGGTGAATTTCAGCCAATCATAAGCGTCCAGGCACAGAAGCAAGGTTGACAGTAGAATGATCTGGAACAGACAGGCCCCAAACCCAAATGACAATTACAACTGCACCTACGAACATGAAACCAAGTCTTACCTAAAAAATAAAGTCCTGTACATCTGGTGTGCCTCATAGTAATCCCCTTTTTCTACACTGGCTCGCAGTTTTCCTTCGACCCGCTGTACGCCTCCACGGTTTCTGGCACTGGAGCACCTCAGAGACTCCTGCTCCGACATCGTCGTTGCTCCGCAGCAGCGCTCGAGCCAAGTGTTGACAGTGGGAAACCGGAAAGCTTTTAACAAAACAGACCCTCTTCGCTTGCCGTAGCCGGTATGTTTTGGTTATTTGGTTGGGGGATAGTGGGAACACTGGCAAAGTTTGTGAAACCTTGTGACCGACTGAGCAAGGTTAAGGGAAATAAAATTACATGATGGGTAGTGAAATGTAGCGGTCAGGGTCACGTGGTTTCATGAAGTTTTTTTTGGAGTAGCCCATTATTCACAACCGACCTACTCTTCATCATAGGGGACACATTGCTTAGTGAAAACAACACCTGCAGGTACCTGCATTGTAGGAGATGGTGTGTCCCAACAGCAAACACCCACCGTGTACCCAGTGCATACGACTCTTATATCTTATATATATTTTATTAAGAAAATTCAACGTTTCTCCTCATTTAAAAATGGTGATTTAGAAATATGTTCAGAAATATTAAGCATTCAAAACCATTTTTTAAATTTGTAGAAAAATTATGAATACTACTGTCAGTAATCTAATTATTTAATTCTAAATCACCCCGTTGATTTAATATTGCACTTTCATGGAGCTGAGGCATCCACAAGAGACCTTTTAAACTGACTTTTTACAACAACAAAAAAAGACAAAAAATCCATGCATCCTGTCTGCTATATTTATAGAAATACATATATATATATATATATACGTTTCATTGCGTTTTTTTGTTTTTTTGTAAACGAATGTCATGAAAAGACCAAAACCAACAATGCACTAGTCAATCTCTAATACTTTCTCTGCTGTGCCAAACCCACTGCTTCCTACTAAAGAATAAATCTTAAATAATGAGTGACAAATATAAATATATATAGTTGTATTTAGAAAAAAACATCAACAGTGAATAGAGCATTTGTGGGGACTATTTTCAGTGTCAGATTTATACACATTTAGTGAGTAGTGTATGTGGGATTGACTCAAAATAAACTTCTTGTGTGTGTGTGTGTGTATTACATGTCTCGCAGTGAAACGTTGTGACTCACTGATGTGTTTTGAATAGTTATTGGAAAACAAAGGAGTTCTATGGCACAGAGAAATAAGATCACACACAGACTAGACTTGTCTTCATTCACTGTTGGTTTTGGTCTTTTACTTTAAGTAAGTAAAAGAAGAAAAGGGCTTTAAGAGGGTCTAAAAAGATATTCTTTAATGTAAAACGTTTTGCCATAATTTCACTCATTAGTCCTTCACTCATTTTAAAATATTGTAATACCTTGAATCAAATTATTCTCCATCATTTAGTTAAACTATATATCTTTTAAGTTCGGTGGTTAATTTTTTCTTATTTATCGTCCTTGAAGCAGAACCTGACCAATATGATGTTATTTCAATTTCAGCAACATATTTTTAGTCTCTGTCAACCAGGTCAAAGATATGAATCCGAATGGAAATCCAAAAGAGATACAGAGTGAAAAGAACTAGTAGCCCTTTAGTTTGTCAAATATTTGGTTAGCTTTTTTTTTAGATAAGCTGTGCTGGATCTTATGTATCAAGACCTGCTTGAACACATTTGAATGAAAATGTTTGTTACTGGTCTGACATGTAGCAACTTCATCCCAGAAGGACTGGAAATATTAAAATATTTTGAGGTATTGATGGTAGAAGGGAACAAGATGTGAACAACAAACAGAGGCTCAGAGAAAAGAGTACTGTCAGGATCATACTGTAGGCCTATGTAACTGTTGTAAAGTAGGTACAAATGGTACTTAAAGGGGACTTCAGAAGCCTGTAGTGGCTCAGGTTTATGTGGACTGACACTTTTGTTACACGCGGTGATATTTTATTATGCTGAGCGTTCATCTCACAGCCAATGAAGTTGTAGAAGATGATCGAAGCTGTCCCAGTGTGGCTGCCATTTTGTTTGAACCTAAACTACACTCCTGAACACCTCCTTTAAAGCAGTCCAGAAGGTTGTCATGGAGCAGGAGAACGCACTACCAGTGTGTAATGGTGGGGCGGACAGAATGCAGTGTTGGCCATCTTGGATCGTGCACTTTATTGCTCCCTCCATCGCACTGATGGTGGGCTCAATGTGTTATGTGTTCTAAAGGCTTTGGACATGGACTTGGACTGTCGTTGTGTTACCTTCCTACTGCTTTTCTTAATCACTGTTGTTCCCTTCAGACATGCAGTGGTCCTCTCCTGATGTTGTCCTGCTCTGCTGACTGCTTTTGGCACAATTCATAAAATGTGTCTCCTACACCCAAAGTGCCCTGGATAAAACTGCAGTGTTTTTATGAAGGACTCGTACAAACAGAGACATTTCCATGTTTCATCTGATTGTTTTATTCAGTTCTAGTATATATACAACTTTCTCTAACCCTCTCCTGGTAATCCTAAGCATGTTTGAACTGCACTGTTATTACAGTGTTTGGCATTAAGGCTCTGGAGTCGAATATCAAAGACCAAGTACAAGTTATTTTGTGCAAGAAATGCCATTTTTTTCCAAAATGTACAGTAGTAAATGTTAAACTTCAAGGATTTCGTCAAAGCAGGTAAAATGATGTAAAAAAAATACTTTGATCAGAAATCAGATTGTAAAAATTATTAAAAAAATTATTATAGTAAAAATAATAATTATAATTAACATTCCAATTATTATTTTAATTATAAAAAGTATGTGTTGTGAGACCTGCTTGAGCAGGTTGACTGAACATGAAAACACTGCAGAGTAACTGAATATACTGAACATTATTAAAGATCTTTAAGTTGACGATGAATGATGGTACTGTAATGAGAGTATTTATTATTGGATATGCTGCTAGGTCCGGAGTTTACCATGAACCCTGAAGCTGTAGACACAGGTGTGGTCTACATTTCCCCAGTTGTTCTCTATCTGTAGCTTCACGTGGCTGAAGACACCTATGTCTGGATTCTGGTAGAGACAATAGAGAGAGAAATGAATAAAGAGAGTCAGGCATTGTAACAGAGAAACAAATCAAAGGATAAGAGATCAGAGGTAGAGATGACAGGTTGATGCACCTGTGTGGACCACATGGTGTTTGCATCTAGTTTAAGTAGCGACTCCACCTCTAGCTATAATACAGGTAGTTTAACCACCGCAGTTTGCAGCAATTAATGGAAAAGGTTTTATCCTCAGAAGATCACTAAACAGTTAAAGCTCCTATACAAGGACATATGTCCTGCAATGATCTGGTAACCCTCACAGTGTTATTGAATTAAAAAATGCATGTTCATTCAGGAGAGTTATGCTGTATCACTGATACTCACAGGCAGTGCGAAGGTCTGAAATGCTTCACCGTCCTGATCATAAACTTGTTGCCCCAAAAAGGTGCCTTCCTCGTCTGTATTCCTCATTCCCTAGAGTAGAAACCAGAGACAGAGATCAGTTGAACCTTTTGTTGTGCACTGTGTAAATGACCTATCTAGGATCATGACAGCAAATGTCTGACTCACGTAGATAGAAAATTCCCTCGGTGCACTTGCGATGTAGCCGTGAGGGCACTGGCTTTTTGTTATGTGGCCGAGCGTCACATTAGTGATGAAGATAGGGTGGGACAGGGAGATGAATAAATGCCCTCGCTCGCCAGCAAACGACCAGCATTTTCCTGGTTTTAAGGAAGAATATCCCTGAGGCAAGAAGATTCAATATTTTAGTTTTCACGGTTCAACTGTTCCTCTGTGTTATTTCATATGAAATACCAGAAGCTGCAATAGTGTAATTACAAAACCACATCTATGAATATGGCTGTGTAATTCATACCTGGATCACATGCCGCTGTGCTTTGGCTGAATACCACCAGTAGAATATTCTGTTCCACATTATTCCAACGTCTTCTTGGGGCCAATATGAGTCAGAGGATAAATAATGCTTAACTCTAGCACCTGCAAGCACACAAATCAAAGACACACATCCAAAGGTACAAATCAACCTCCTCAACAAGTTCCACAGTGATGCTCATGTGTGAATCATAATGAGACAGATGAATGATGAAGAGGACTTACCTTGTGATTCTAAGGCAAAGTTTGGTGTTGTGTCTGCCAGAGGAGCAAATGTGTTCATCCGCTGTCTCAGTAACTGCATTTCCTGCTGGATTTCTATCATTTGCATATGCATGTGTGTGAATCCTGAAAGGTTAGAAATATGATTTTTATTAAGAAGGAAGCTCTCAAAAACCTGGACCAGGGACTAAGACATGATTTTAGCAACGTTTGAAGTCACCCACTGAAAGCCAGAAGGAGCAGCAGGAGGAAACCGCTGATGATATTCACACATGAGCTGGACGATGTTCTGGCTGCAGACGGAAACAGAATGTTTAGAGCTTGATAACAGACAAAACATCTGGCTCAAACTCTTATACACAACTGTGGTTACAGGTGAGAGGCAGTGCTTACCCTTGTTTCTCTTGGTCTGGGTCCCAGTAGCTGTTAAAGTGGCCTGTGTTCCAGTGGTCAACGTCTGAGTCGCCTGAGTCCTGGTGGTACAAGTATTTGTGGCCTCATTCCCAGTGGTCAGTGTATTAGGGGTCCAGTTCTGTGTGGCTTCAACCTCAATAGTTAAAGCACTAGTGTCAAGCTTGTCTTTATTGTCACTGATGATTCTGGGGCTTTCCTGGCCGTAAGCCACATCCTCATAGTCATCATCGGAGTCATGTTGGTCCAATGAGTCGTAGTAATTTATAGTGTTCATGATGTGGTGGCTACAACTTGTCCTCCTTCGAAAGATTCTAAAAGATACAACAGAAGTGCAAAGGTTTATAGTGTGGCAACCGCCCAGCATATGCACATACACACACAACATGTGCACACAAACACTACAGCAACTTACCTGTACAAGATCTCCCTGTAGGAAATAAATGGAGTTCCTTCCTCTGTATAATATCCTGCTTCTTGCAGGCGAAGACTTTTTCTCACCATGACTAGAAAATGGTAGAAAGACAGAGAGGCAAATAATCAGTGACACACATTGACAGAGCTACACACGCTGTTCTACAAGTGTTGCATGTTGTTGCTATAAACAATAGAAAAATGGCATTAATGGCAGAACATTAAGTTTGAACAAGTTTATATGTCAAGTGTGAAACAGCTCTGCTGGTAACTTGCCTCCTATTTCTGTGGTGCAATAAATGAATTCCTGACTAAGAAGTAGTCGAAATCCTTGTTTAATAAATAGCTAATAAATGGATGAATGTTTTCCTAAATCAGAGGTAACAGTTATATAACATCTGAATGGTGCAAAGAGACTGAAATGAACTATCTGGAACTCTGGGTGTTCAACTGTGATGAATGATTCTATTAGAGTCATAATGATTCTATTGTGAGTTTCTGGAACATATGTACATTCAATATGTTAATTATGGAATAACACATCATAATTATTCCTCCCACTTGATATACATATATTTCTAGATATAGTTTATAGTTTTAAAAAAGTTAATTAACCGATGAATCATTAAGGTTATAAAATAACAGAAAGTGGTGAAAAATGCCCACCACTGAGATGAAGGTGACGTACATAAATGTCTTGTTTTGTCTGACCAATATGATTTGTTATTTTGATTTTATCCAATCCAATCCAACTTTATTTGTTAAGCACTTTAAAAACAACCAAAGTTGATCAAAGTGCTGTACAGGAGAATAAATAAGACATCATAAATGTTAGTTTAAAATGGCATCGACTGTCGTCCTCTCCATTTGCTTTACATTATTTTTCTTTCCGTCCCCTGTCTTGCATCAACTTTATCAGAGCAACAGGACATATTTCTGATTACATTTTAATAACTGCTGCTTTACCACAAAGGGTCATTACCAATCAGTGGTATCAAACAATAACACTGATAGCAGTTGGCTATTTTCTCAAAGACTTAACAGTAAGACTTTATTTTACTGGTGAATCATAGTTTCCAGTAATTTCCAACAACAAAAACATTTTAAAGCAAAGCATACAATTCAGTATGGTGAAGGTTTTTAATAATAAATGAGAAATCAATGAATATTTACTTGGATTTAATAAGAAATCATTGAGACAGTTACAGTAAAATAAAGTGTTTGTAATTTTAGCAATTAGAAAAAAAACTGTGTGTGTATCTTACACTGACTGAAGTATAGATGTAATATAGTCTAGTCTTATCTTTACACTGCAGAAGTACATTCGAACAAGACAAAATTTACTTTTTCTTGTTTGCATTTTATGTTTTTATTCTTCAGATATTTCAATCACTTGCACATTATATAATAATTAATAATACAGCAAGTTAATACTTGATATTAGAAAGCATAAAACAGTAAATCACAAGATCAGTACATTATAACATTCAACAGGAAGAAATGTATGGTCTTGGTATACTAGAAACATCACACCAAATCACTGCTCACCTGGGTACGGAAGGCGAGAATGGCTGTGCTTGCAATTGCCGTTACGTCGAGGTCACGAGTTAATCAATTTTGTGATCTCATGAAAACACAACGTCAATTTGTCAAGATAATGGAATAATTGAGAGGATGAGAGGATTATAGAGAACTTGAAGTTTCTGGTTCATTTGATCAATCTTGATTTCAGCCTCATGATTACTGTCACGACTGGTGCAGGATTCATAACTCAGAGCCAGAATGTAAATCTGAGAGTTAATGATACAGTACTGACAAAATATATCAAAGAGAAGACTGAGATTGATCAAGTCAGCTCAAAGATCCCTGCAGTGTCATGTTGATCTGTATGAAAATTAATATTTCATATTATTCCTCCATGCATTGTCCATTATCTATAATAAGCCATGATGGCGTAGCAATTTCTGGATAAACATAATAAGAGGAAATTAAGCATTTGTTTTCTCATGACAACAGGTTGAATGTGTCATTATCTCAGGATGGCGTAGCTGGTTTTCTCAAGACAATAAAATAATTTACTTGTGATCTCAACATAACAACATTAAGAAAACATAATTGCAAGCATGGCAGTTCTTGGCTTCCACACAGGGGTATGTTGTTAAAGTATAAAGACAAATACATAAACACAACTGATATAGTAATCTGTAAAAGCATTTTAACGGTCTCTCTCTCGTTTTCTCATTTTGTATGTTAGCACGGTCCTTTGTGTTTGAACGTAAGATATTAGTCAGTTGGACATTTTATATGTAAACTGAACCAAAGCAGCTGTAAAGTACTGTAAACCCACTGCTCCCACAACCTCGTGTGTCATTCATAGTTGTATTTGCTGTTTATTGGCTGTTTGGTAACACTGTAACATTGCAAACATCACAACAAAATTAAATCCTCTGGAACGCCATTAAAGCCACTCCCTTTATTTTGAAAAGATGATCAATAATAATGAAAGACAGTGAACTCGGGATGCACAGTGCCTTTACCAACCTGTAGCTCTTTCCTCCTGCAGTACATTTAATTGGACACTAGATGGAGCCAGAGACTGTGCAGGGGTTGTGTATATAGTTTCATGCGCTACGCACATTTTAAATGTTTATTTTTTATTTATTCAGTTTCTTCAACTTAACTACTACACACATTATATTAAAGACATTGTTATGTCTGACACATACGCACATAACCCCGCTGTACTAGCTCCTGTCCCAGAGCAGTAGCAGTAAACTGGTTAGAAAGGTGTTGTGAAGGAAGTGGGTCTCAGCGTCCCACGCAGAGGAGGGTTTTCCGGTTAAAGTTTCCTTTGTGATTCGGAAGTGGTGGTGTGATGCCAAAGCTGTTTATCCTTACAGACACAACACACAAGTGGCGACCATGAAACGTAAGCTTAAATGTATACATTAAATAGCTATTGTGACGGTATTCGCTACTTAGTTCCCCTTTAGAGAAGACGGCAACGTGACAGGCAGGAACCAGGCTGAGCAGCTAGCTAGCGGTTAGAGTTGATGGCTGGCAGATATAGCATGCTAACGGTAGCTAGCTAACTTGGGGTGTCTGTCTGTCTGCAGTCATCAGACAGGATGCCGAGGAGGTTACAGAGGGAGCCGGCGCTGGCGTTAAGTATGTTACACTGTAGCTGGGAACCTTCCGTGTTCATTATGTCGTTTGTGTGCGATTTTACATTACAGTATTTCCACTTAAAAGCTGCATTGAGACTGTTCAGGTTAACTCCCATCCAGACGAGCTAACAATAGCCTAGCATGTCTGTGTTGTGGACAGTGACAGCTGTAGGCTGCTGCCCCATGACATCTGTGGAAAGGCCTCCTGCAACGTGGATTCGTGTAGCCCATATTATCAGTTCTCATTATTCCTTTTTTTTTTTTTTTAACCCTTTTTTGCTCCACAATGGCCTTTATGCACATGCCCTGGTTACACTGACACTGATACTGCTGCTCAGCACCATAATCCAGAGAGCACAGGACCAGAATAAGAACAGGGGTTGGCAGAGAAAGAGAGAAGATATCAGTTATTCCCTGCTGAAGGTTTGATTTTGGTATTTTCTTCCACAGAATCCTTCAAAGCTCTGTCCTGCTGAAATGGGAAAACGCCCCTTCAGGATTTAGTAATACAGGTAAGCAGCAACAAGCCTTGAACCACATCCGTTACCTCACTGCTCACTCACTATGTGTTGTAATTCTTGGTAGTGGTTTTCATGTGTATGGTGGTGAAACAAAGCAGCTGTCTGTAGGTGTGTGTCTCTGTACCTTTTGTAATTGTGATACATATCAGAAAGGCTAGTGTGGGCGTGTAGAGAGGAATGCTGGAGTACTTAGTGTCTCTCTTAAATGCATTGCAGCAGAACCGTACACACTGCATGTCAGAACAGCAGCCCTTTCTTGAAAAAGTAAATGATGAAGCAACGGATGAGGCAGTGGGCATCTCTGGAAAGCCATCTATTTGAAATGGTTGGGTTGATGAACTGTGTGACACCTGATATCCAGGTCACTGTAGACTTTCTGGGCTCAGGCTAGATAATGGAGGCATCAGTGTTTACACGACAAGAGATATGAGGCAACGCACACATACTTTCTCGTGTCTTGTTGTCTTGATATGTGTGTCAAAGTGATGTGTTGCACTGAGACATCACATGTTGCAGAGAAGCCACTAAAACCATTATCTTGCCGTCATGTCGCAGTAGCTTGGACCGCTGTTAGGTAGTGAACTACTGTATATGCTAGTAATGCATTGTTAATTTCTCCCGGTAACGTTTTGCCATACTGCAGCAGTCTGACCCCTCATTGTTGACTGAATGCTGCGTTTTAACACCACTGAATTTGAATGTTATTTCCTTCCCTTTCTAAACCGGTTTCCCAGTTTGTTTTTCTCCGTCTGAGTGGAAAGGCTCGTGACTGCCTTTGCTAGACTTGTTTTCGCTGTTAACATTTGTAACATGTGATTTCAGGGTTGTAATGTGAAAAGGCTAAAATATGTATGCAAAACTCCCGCCTGTGTTCTGCTGCTGCTGAGCTAGCGTTCCTCTTGGGAGCAGGTGAATTAGATTAGCAGATATACGAGAGGATTTGCTCAGGGATGCTGTCATGACAGTGTAATGTCAGTGTAAAGTCTTTGACTGGAGGATATCAGATGGTGTAATATGTACATGGGGTGGTGATAGATTTCTATGACTCATACAGTGACATTTCTTTTGTTATCACTGTCATGTCTTCATAACCTATGAAGATGTTATCCCATACAAAATCATGCAACACTTAAAACCATACAACAAATTGACAGTTTCTCATTACTTGGGGAAATGATTTGGAACTGAAACAAGCTCACAGGGCAGTGCAGGTAAATCTCAGTATCTGTTTGGTGCTGACTGAAATGTCCTGTATCTAACATTGAGTGTCACCATGTGTCAACTTGGTATCAAAAAGCCTAAATTATCATTTTTGTCATTTTAAGTTGAATATTTTTCAGGGCAAAGTTCTTGTCTGACTGCTTGTGATAAGACAACATTTAAATAAGTTCATTGTTTAAAAATAATCTAAAAGGACATAATAATGCATATAATCACCTGAAAATAACAACTGTTGTGTTTTCGTTTACCTTTGAATGAGCCTTTTTACCTACAGAGGGAGTGAGTCGCCTTCCATGGAGTCTGCCATTTTGAATCGCAATCTTTGTACAGTAGCCCAGAATGGACAAACCAAACATTGGCTCTAGATCGTTTTTTGTGCATTTCATAGCAACTGTGGATTCCCCTTCGCATTTGAAGGGGGACATTGAATCAGGAAAATCTGAAACTAGCTAGATGCAACACATCGTCATATAAAACATAAAAATCGAAATATTTCCGATACAAAGTACGCCCATTTACCTGCATTCTGATATGTCTGCAGATATCCTATTATGTCTGTTCAAAATAAGGCATGACAGTTTATTCTAACCAGCATTGCAAAAAGTCTTCAATGCTTCAACTTCACGCGATAAAACTTGCAGACATCCTGAGGCCATGAAAACATCAAATGTAAATTTAGTGTGTCATGTGGTTAGTGTGCCGCTATTCAGACATGTGTGTGCGCTGGTATTTGATTGTGAGAGAGAAGAGTGACATCTCAGACAACACTGCCTCATTGTTTTCAGGCCCGTTGTGCAGTCATGACAGGATCCCCATCAGAACCCCACGGCTAGAAAACACATATTTGCAGAGAGAGCGAGAGAGAGATCAACACACAGCACAGCGGCAGGCCTGCCTTTGTAAGCAATCATTAGTGATGTGCTGCCCAAGTTACCGGGCCTGTTCAGTCCAGAGGAGTGTTTCATGAAGGAAGAGAACCAGTTACACAGGGCCTAGTCCAGTAAATCAGGAAAATCTGTTCTATAAAGCAGGAGTAAATACATTTAACCTTGTTTACAATGGATATCCCACTAGACCAGTCTAATCTCAGGTTTGTGTTTAGGCTTCGCTTCACTCAGTTTAACCAGTTTGTATTACAAATGTATGTAAATGTATTACAAAGGTGATAATTCTGTATTAAGTATCAGATTTCTTAATATGTTGTTGTTCAACAATTCCACCAATTCATCAAGGAAATGCATTTATCATAATACGACACACGGTTGTACAACAAAATAAAAGTTTGCTAGAACAGATGGATAATGGGCCTTTCTCGCAGGAAATATTTCAACATGTCACAGTAGGAAAACACAGGTGTAAATAATAGTGCTGGGAGCCATATCATTTGGCTTGGCTCTCCCAACTCCTAAATGGCTCTTCATTTAGTACCGCTTCTGGCTTTTATAATGTAGTAATGTTTTGACCTATCATTGGTATGTGTGCATATATCACTTAAGTTATTCAGTGTTATTATACTAAACCCTTATAGTTTCCAGAAAACCTTAGGTAATACAAACACATATAATAATACCCAATACTATGTCAAAATGGTTATTAAAATGTTAAACAGTTTGACACATAAGTTTGATTGATTAAAATCGGTAAAGATAGAGCATAGTTTATTGCTTTGAACATCAGCTTATGTGTGTTTTTGCATACATTTGTCAGAAAACAATATTGTTAGACAGTCATATTAATAAGGATAATGAAGCATATTGCAACATTGCACAAAATGGTTATGTTACATGCACAGCAAAAACCAAGTAGCCATTTTTTTGTTTCTAAAAACATGTATTACGTGGCTGGAGGCCCTTTTGACTGCCTTAATGTAGGGTGCAGACAGAAACTCACATTGTTTATATAGGACTTGAACCCAGAATGACATGATTACAAGGAGAGGGTTGCAACAGACTCAGCTAACACGAGAGGTCAAGGTGTCAAGAGTCAGTACTCACTAGTGGTCTATAAAGTGCTGCCAAAGGTTCTCTGTCGCTCTGTTTTAAGGCATTGGTTCAGGTTGTTAAGCTCGCACCAGGCTTCTCATAGTAAGCTCCATTTCAACTTTCAAATCAACTTTCAACATAACCTTAACTGTCCCCCAATGGGAACAATTTGTCTTGGAGCCAGATGCAACACTGAACACACACAGACACAGTCATGCATGTTTTTCATAGCTTCATTTATGAGGGTAAGTTGTTAGATGGGTTTAATGTATGGAAATTGCTCTGAGGTTGTTAAGAAGTAAAAGGTGGGTGGGGGGGGGGAATCCATAAACAAAGTTCTGTCTTTCTAAAGCAGCGGCCACAGCAACAGTTGTAAAAGCTCAAACATGCAAATTCTTCCCTGATGACTGAATTAATCCCCTAGTCTACAGCCCTGCATTCTTCCTCTTTCCCCAGATGTTTGTGTATGTGAGTGAGGGAGACGGGGAGAGAAAAAAGACAGACAGAGAGCAAAATAGACATGTTCAGTTTCCTGGGAAGCTTTTTTTTAACATGTTGTAGCCTGTAAAAGTGCTACTGGCCTTTATTTTATTATTAGTTCTTTTTTTTAATGTTTTATTTGTTCAATACTCAACTTCAACTCAGATTGGCCAATACTGACAACCTGATGTAGTCCATTTCCAAATTGCACAAAACGTTTTGCTGATGAACTGATAAAACAAACCCTTCATGGGAAAAATGCTTTGTGTGTCTGAGACTAATGGAACAATGCACTGGCTAGGGAGATTAAGCTCAAGGGTATATTTACCAAATGTTTCTACACAGAGAAGTACAGCATATATTCTTCCACAGTACAGACTGACTCAAGTGTAATGGTGCTACACTGCTCCGGCTAGCTAACATATATATATTTAATGTATGAAAAATGACTAGAAAGACAAAGGCACAATCAAAATACCATGGTAAAATGTTATTGACTGTGATGCTGTGATGACTTGATGTTTGCTATTTTGCATCAAAGACAAATATTTGCCAGCCAGCTTATGTGCTCTATAGCTAGATCATAAGCTGCTTACCTGTCAGATAGTAAAATGCCAACCATGCATCAGTGCTGAAGTTTTTCTAAGTCTAAAATCCCAGAGCTTATTAAACGCAGCACTGACGTTCTAAATTAGATACTGAGATAAAACTAAACCAAATCCCTGTGGTGGATTTTATATTTTACAGTTTATTTTGGAAAGGGAACCTGTGAAGTATTACTGATTGCACCTTTTTAAAAGAACAATTCCAGTTGATTCTTGGTACCTGTTGTCTTCACATCACATGGAGCCTTTTGACGAGTTATTAAACTAATGATGTCGTATTTTTACTACAGGTCTCTCCATCACTCTGGCAACGCTACACCCACAGAAAGGGGAGGAGCCAAGTCCTGGCAGCATGGAAGTCACTGGGACGCCAGGCTTGGCCCCAAGCCCTCAGAGCGAGGCAGTGACCAGTGAGCTTCAGGAGCTGTCCCTTCAGCCTGCACCCGACCCAATGCCTCTGCAGGAGAGAAAGAATGGTGAGACTCTGTTGCATGCATACTTTTTGTCCTTTCAATCACCTCCTTTAATCCCAAATTCTGGTGTTTGGTTTTGGATGGTTTCATCATCCTGGCTCGACGTTTGCATAGTCCAATCTCGTCTGGGGAGCGCTGTGATGACCAAACAGCAGTGCAAGCATGCATTGGAAGTAAAATGTAAATGCTGTTGTTTACCTCACAAGTGTTGTTATAAAGGGTCAAAATATTACTGGCCTAGTAGTAGTAGTAGTAGTAATTGTTGTAGTAGTAGTAGTAGCAGTAGTAGTAGTAGTGACAGTAGTGTTTTCTGGTTGTTTTCGAAAGGTTTCCAGTCCATGCTCATCTTCTTCCATCTTTTTTATTGCTCATACAATATTGTGCATTAAGGACAGACACCGCCAGTTTGCCTTGCTCAGCATGTTCAGTGGTTTCATTCAGGGATAGTCTGTCCCTGCACAATGTCCCACTCAATTTTTCTTCGGAGCCGCTGGGTGAATGTGGTGGAAACACATCGCTCTACAGACCTCGGAGACCAACACTCTTGCTTCCAGCCCAAGTGAATATTTTGGTGGAGCACTACTCATCCTTCACAGAGGTGGCCTATTTCCAACATAAATTCCTTCAAGCTAAAAGAACATGTTACATAAGTTGAGGTTAAGTAGAAAGGGGGGGGCACTTATCTGAGATGTAGAAGTTAAATGTCAGATGTGCCTGTGCATCTTGTTCATTTGTCAGCGGAAAGCTTACCTCACTGCGGAGGGTGAGACATGGAGGTTTAAGTGCTCAGGTGAAACTGTGTGTCTGTGTACAAGGCTATGTGCGGTAAAGCCTCCAGAAAGAAGGTTGTGAAGAAGCTGCTATACCTAATTGGTTTGCTCCTCCGCGCTGACCTCTTGTTACAGTAGATTAGACGTTTGCTGTGTAAGACTCTGTGGGCCTTTTTTGTGTCTGGAGTTCGCCTGGAGCTTAGAGCACTTGGCTCTCTGTGCAGAATGACGTGTAGCACCTTCCATCGAACTGAATCATGGTGGAAAAGTTGACTTTGCTGCATTTATGTATTTGGTTTGCTTAGGTTCACACAGCCAAATTATAAGTGAATCATAGCACAAGCACTCAGATATTTTCTTTATTGGATAGAGCTTTATTAACATGTCTAACGTGAGCTTTTGGCGACGAGTTTAAATAAATCCCACTTAAGTCTTTGTAAGTTAAGCATAATATCATTTGTCCACTATGAAGAAGTAATAGCTGAACATGGGCATGTGGAGCTAAACTGATGAACTGAGTTAGTTGATCAACAGAAAATTAATAGATGTAATTTTCAATGTCATTTTTCAAGCAGAAATGCCAAACATTGGCTGATCATAGCTTCTCAGATGTGTGGATTTGCTGCTTTTCTCTGTCATTGTATGAACTGGTGTGTCTTATGTAAAACATTTTTAATTGACTTGATGCAAGAAAGCACAATATCTTTGGGTTTTGGACTGGTCGACAAGACATTTTCGAGACGTCACTTTGAGCTCTGGGAAATGATGGTGGGCATTTTGTACAGTTAAAACATCCATTAGTTTACATTGCAGTTAGTTCATGATCGTGTTATTATGTTTTTTCTTTTCCCAGAAATGGCAACTGCTGACTTGCAGATGTAAACATTTGTCTCCAAACACCCGTAACGCTTGTTTTGAGGTTGTTTCCTATTATCAGCGCGTTATCATCCCATCAAAAAAAAAAAAAAAAAAAAAAAAACATGCCACAGTCGGCTGATAGGAGATCAAGACAGACATTTTGAGTTGACTTGGTTCAGCTATGTAGTACCAAATGAGATCAAGTAGCACCTTTCTCACATGACCAGCATCTGCTAAACTGCTCTAAAGATATGTGGTGAAAATGCACCGTCAGTGTTAAACTAAGGTATCATTGCAGCCAATTGGTTTCACTTAGGCATGTGCTTCATCCAAGCATCCAAATGTTTCTACTACCAAGTTAGACACATTCTGTTTTGCAGAGATATCAGAGCATTGGTCACCCTGGGATAGTGATACTTACACACATACACACACCTTGCATTATCAGAAGACTCTGCCACATTGGCCATTGTTCCCAGCTGGGTGTTGGCTGTCCAGTTTTGTGGAGACACAGTTAGTTGACCTGCTGTTGATTTGTCATGAGAGGAAGGCTAGGCAAGGTAGGGCCAGTAAATGATTGACCATCTTTAGGGTGGCCCAACAGTGGCTGAGAATAAAGCACAATAACACGTACAATAAAAGTCAACAGTAGAAAAAGAAAGTGAGGCATAGTGCAACTAGCTAGTAATACAGGCAGCAGAAACATTATTTATGGTATATGAACAATATTTCAAACGATTTAACATCATTTCAGAAATGTTTAGGAATGGCAGAGTGACAAGTAGTCACAGGACCATGTTTACCTCTCAGAAACACACAGACACACACACACACACACACACACACACACACAGCCTCAGGCCACCACTCCCAAATTTAAACAACCCCTGCTCTTGTTGGCCCTTTCCTTACACACTTAATTCTGCTAGCCAGAAGCAGACATGTTGCTGCAGGCACTGCTGTAGCTAATCTTACACGAAGATGCTTTCAGAGCTCTGGAGAGATGCATTGCATGTGACTGCATGTGCATGTCTACATGCATACATGTGTGGCAGTGAAACATAATGGAATGCCCCTATAAAGCTTATCAAAGCTTTATCTCTGACAGCAGGTTATGCAATGTGTTTATTTGCACAAGGTTCCTTCCTCGGTCATGGGCAAGCGCTGGGAGATTTATTGTTAAACACGCGCATGTGTGTGTATATATAGAAAGAGGTGACATGTTTTTCAGGATGAGGATCAGAGACAGATGTTTAGGTTCATATGCACTAGTGAGAGAGAGAGAGAGTGAGCTTTGATTCAAGACATAAAGGCTGACACAACAGAGAATGGCCTTTTAAGACAATTTACATTTCCTGTCTTCCCAGTCACAAACTTGCCTTGCAAACAAAAGTGGTCGCTCTATGATACTCTGACTGAAATCATTCAAAACTTTGAGGTGGAGAAGCTAGTTCAAGTGTGGGAGTGCGGGCTGCAACAGCGGCAGCAGCAGAAGAAGGAGGAAGGGGAAGAAGAGAGGAGGGGGAGGTCATGTCTGAAATGGCAGTATTGCATAACTTCTCAGAGAGGGAACAGAAGGAAAGCGAGGGAAAATGGAAAGCAAGAAAGGAGGGGGCGTGTTACATGTACATGAGGAGGTGAGGCTTGGCACCAGCTTGTTTTTCTTTTTTTTTTTTTTTTTTTTTTTTTACTTCCAAACTGGCTGAGAGAGTGCAGAGGAGTGACCAAAAGTTTTCAACAAGTACATGGGAGTGAAACAAGAGGTGTAGCCACGGAGAGATTGGAACCTCTGGGTGGACCTTGTTGTTATCCAAGGAGCAATAAGCGACAGACCTTCACACGCCCTCTTTGCTGGGGCGTGCACACACTTGTAGACAGACAGTCAAGAGAATGGGAATGTGAGGTGCACTGCTACCTGTGGAGTACCAGCTGCCGGTGAGAGGAAAACGTGTTTAATGTGGCTTTTCTGTTGCTGGAACTTCTCTTCAGCCTTCTACCGCTGTTGTGTGTGTCCCCCCCCCCCCCACTATACATTGTGCTTGTGTTGGGAGTATGAATTGCTAATCTTGCTGCCGGGAGGGTGAAGCTTCCCTTCGGCATGGTGCAGAGGGATATGACTATCCAGTCAGGTAAAGTCCCTTTGAGTATTCTACCTTCGGCTTTCATGTCTGTGTGTTTTTAAAAATGATGACAATGGATGACAGTTACCTGTAAAGTAAGCCGAGCTTTGCTGACTGCAGGTGTGGTGAGCTTTGTTGCATGTATCTGTTAATTGTTAAGTGTATTGACACTGCAGTCTCGAGTGTCGGTGTACTTTTTGTTGGTGTGAGAATGGGTGCTTCTGCTGAAAGCTGAAAAAGTGTACTTGCGGTACTTACACATGCCATTACTATCAACCAAACCTGGTAGCATTTAGGCTTGGAAAATGATCATCTTTATCGGTTATATTGGAGGGCTGCATAACGAGGTGGCTGTGTAGATTTTAACTGCTGCTACAAAGGAAAAATTCTGTAAAAAATAGAAATAAACCGCCAACTTTCAGATTTTACAGTTAATGATGTAGAGCCTGTACACTGTAAAAGCTGTTCCATCATGTCATCAGTCTGAGTTAGTGGCAAATTGACCATACAGTATGTAGTGTGTAAATATAGTTTCCAGGGTTTCACCTCAGAGGGTTCCCAGAACAAAAAGGAACAGCGAGGCCAGGTGTGCGGGGTCTCTCCTGAGCAAAACTGGGCGGATGAGGGTGTTGAGTAGTTCGAAAGGTGTGGTTGGTGAATTGGGCTCTTCTCAGAAAGTGACGCCCTCCCCCCCTTCAATCAATGCAGCTGTCAACTGTCCAGCAAAGGCACCACTGCTCCCTAAAGACTGACTCCAAGCCAGGGGCAATTGTCCTGATAGTGCTTGAGAGTTGGAGGTTGGCTGAGGGAAGAGGAAGAGAGAACTCGGCCCGGGCTCACTGAAGGAGACAGGAGCTGGAGGGGGAAAGTAGGTTAGAGGCGTCACAGACTCTGCTCCAGATTCGAGTGGAAATGACCCACTCACTTCAGTCAGAACAGATTGTTCCAGATCATAACACGGACTACGGGTACGACTGCCGAGACTAGAAAGTGGATTGTCAATGATAAATGCAGTAAGACAGTGTTATATGTGTGCCTGCACATCCTCAGGAAGCCTGAACAGTGATTTTTTTAATCACGTACCACTGTGGCTTGAGAGTCTGCAGGTTTTTTGATCCAACCAAATACTATGGCGACTGATTTCACTGGTTGTTGCACCTACAACCAGTGACAGGGGCTTATCAAACAAACTGGCCATGAATATCAGACCCTGAATTGACCACTATGATTTTTTTATCACTGTTTACCTTTTGTCAAGAATAAACTAACTTGACTACAGCCTACAGCTGAGATCAGGATTAACAAAAATTGAAGCATGGACAGAAAGTGGATAGAAAGTGGGATTCAGACTATGTGGCTAAAAGTTGGGCGAGGAGCTGGTAGTCTCCAGTTTGGGATTTGGCTGACTGCATCATCTAGACTTGTAAACATAAAGAGATAAAGATCACATCCCCACCCTTGCGTAATGACAATAGATGGGCCGTAGCTCATGCTGAGATGTTGTGTCATTAGTGCTGGGCTCTGCTTCACTTGTGATAGCTTCCAGCTTTTATAAAGCTTCTATTTTAACATTTAAGAGATTCGGTTGAGAAGAATAAAACCCTGATGCTCTTCTTCCCTGTCCCCCGTCCACATTTTAAAATCTTTAAAAGAAATGATCAGTTTGCCATCTGAAATTAAAATTGCTAATGTAATCTGAACCCAGACAGACGCTTTGCTGTTGGGCAGCATTTAAGATACGATAGCAAGATATGTAGCCTGGTTGAGGCTAGCCTAGCCCAGCAGTGATTTCAGAGAGGCTGACGGTACTGTTATGTAATACACTGGGAGGCTGCCAGCAGCAGAGGCCCCGCAGCACTCTGTCAGGCTGAGAGTAGGAGAGGAGAGGGAAGAATGAGACTGATAGATAGCAAGAAAGAGGAGGAATAAGCACAGAGAGAAAGTGGAGAGAATACAGAAATGTAAAATAAGAGTGGAGAGGAGCAAAGGATTGGAAAATAAGACCATAAAAAGGTAGGGGGAGGAAGGTAGGGGGGCAAGATGGGAGTTATGTTTCAATCTAATCCAAACACACAGCTGCAGCAAACACAATCCAGCTGCATGTCTCCTCGTCTCTCCACCAGTGACTCTGGCATTAGATAATCTCTGTATGCTCAAGACAATCAAAAACATAAAAGAGTGATAAAATGAAACAATTGAGGTACAAAAAATAACATTAAAATGATATATACAACATAATACTGTTTCTGACCCATGGTAACTCTACTTTGAGTGTATGCATTTCCTTGTAAGAATTGGAAGGTGTATTTGATGATAAATGGATGTTGTTGGGGCATATTAAACTGCATCTCAGTTATCCAGTAACATTACGAAACAGGCTTAACTTAAACAACAGCAACACATGTCTTAGTTTTGGGTGAAAGTAAACAGCTTTCAGTCTAATAAACATACACATAGAAACATATTTATGCAACTGAGGCAAGTTTTGTGAGAGGGCTTAAATCTTAAATGTGTCCAGCACACCACGCACACACCCACAGACTATGCATGACTCACCAGCACACACACACACACACACACACACACACACACACACACACACACACACACACACACACACACACACACACACACACACAAACACACACACACACTTCACAACTCATGTCACTGTCGGGACCTTGACATGCATGCACTCACAGGCTTTGGTAGCCTTCCATTTGCACAGTGTGTCCTGACAGCACGGTATTTCAACAAGCACTAACACACTCACATCTTTGATTTGTGATCCAGTTAATTCCTGGTAGATAATGAGAAGTGAGAGAGCCTCACTCAGATCTGTAGCCTAAAGCTAAAGAAAAGCGCTTTATCAGCTCCGTAGGTCTGCTCGTAGCAACAGGAACATGGTGACTGCACACCCACAGGTACAAGCCCACTCATGTAGCTCAATGATCTCAAGTCTTGCAGAAGAAAAATGTAGCGTGGAGAAGCCGAGACACACACAGTTTTCTCACACTTGTAAATGTATGATATCTGTGAATACAAGTCTGTTAACACCTGTATTCTGATTTTTATAAATGCACGTATGTTGTGGTGCGTGGTTCAGGCCCCGCTGCAGCTCAAACTCACATGTATAAACATATATAATAAGTGTTGTGGGTGGCAAAACTTAAAAATCATACAGCATCTTGTGCAGACAACACACTACAATCAAAATATGTGTAATTACATTGATATACTGTTTTAAAATCACAGTAATAGTCTTAAAATGCATTGTATGGTCGCACAAGCTACAAGAAGGGGGTAATAAAAAAGTAATGGAACAAGTAGAGGTGATTTTGTTGCATAAATACTCTACTACTTACTTTAAAATCAACTTAACCCAACATTATCCTCTACAAAACCTCTACTTTTAAAATATGCAAATTATAGTTTCAGAGGTATAATCAAATGCACACACAGTTAAAAGCTCCTGGTGTCACAGGCACAAACCTCGTGCTGCGGGAAACGCTGAAAACACACAACAACAAACACGAAAGACGTGTATCCTCTAGTTGGTTAAGTTTGTGCCTTGTCTTCAGCTAAACTTGCGGAATAATAGAACAGCCATTAGCCTGTGACTCACCTCCTAACACCAAGTGTGGCGCACGTAACGTTGGCTGATGAATGTAGCAGAGGTCACTGCGAGCTGACGGGACTGTTGTTCTGTGGTTAGAGTGACTCAGATGCCGAGCCATGTGCAGACAGAAATTCACTGTTGGTGACAGCATGAGGTGTAGGCAATGTGGGCTAGAGCTTTTTCAAGGCATACTTTAATTGGGTCATATGTGAAACATATTTAAGGATTCATTGAAAAACCATTATGTAAGATTTAGATTTACAACGTCCTCACCTCATCCTCCCTGTGCAGGTATGTAGGAGGAACTACAGTGGCTGCGTAAAGTGGCTTTTGTAGAAGAGGATCCACCCTTTCTGTGAAAAAAATTGGCTATTAAGGCAACAAGATGTGTAAATCGAGCAGCCAAGACTGCTCGATTCACACAATCAGAAAACTTTGTTGCTGACAGTAGATCGCATCAACAGTGTCACCAGATTCCAGGGAAAGCTGCGCTCCTGTCTCATCACTTTGTTTGTCACTCTCTTACTCCGAGAACCGGTGTATGCCCGCTGCAGACCAGACTAAAGAACACAGCTGTTTGTGCTCAGGATTCGTCATAGCCACTCAATACCTCTTCATTCTCACGTTCACATGCCCTCCCCGAAGCATTTTGAATGGTGTTGTGTCTTTTGTTTTTAGCTTCAGTAATGTGGTAGCTTGGTGAAAACAAGCCGACTTTGAAGTTTTGTGTCTTTAATTCCGATTATGCTCGGGGCGGTCTGAGATAATGATTATGGCTTAGGTTATCATTCTGATGCTTTAGAAAGTGAAAGGCAGATATTTTTATCAGCAATAAACCAGATCTGCAAACACCACACATGATAAACCATGAGTCGTCTTGAAAGCAAAGACACAAAGGTGTGTACAGTACATTGATAACATTAATCTTGTCTGACATGAAAGCTTTTTTTTTTTTTTTGTAGATTTCTGTATAAAATGAAAAATAAAAATAGAAACCAGTGTCCCCCATTAAAGGTCATCGTCTAATAAAAATCCTATCATCAAATTAACAGCCAGACTTTTATTAGATGTTATATACAGGAACAGAAAGAGAAGAGGAGGGGAAGGCAGGATGAGGAGGCCTATAAAACCCCAAAGAGCAACTTGAAGGAAAACGCTAGCAAGAACACACACATACAGTATCACAGAGACTTTCTCATACCCAGGCCCTCCCTCCCTCTCTGTCTTACACTCATATGCTGTACACATGCTCTCAACCTCACTTCAACTTTTATAGTTGTTGTCTTTATTTCTCTTTTCTCTCTGTTGTGCTAATTGGCTTCGACCGCCTTTCTTTGCAGCCAGTCTGCCCAGGAGTCTGTTGTTGTAGGACTGAAATGGAAACCGGTCGTGAAGGAGAAAAGAAAGCAGTGTTTCCTGTGTAAGTGGGGCAGGAGGTTAGGGGGTTCGTTACAATAAAAATGATTTTCAGATGTTCGAGTTATGTAACAGTCTGTTACAAAGGCGTCATCGCTGGTCAGGGAACACCCCTCTCCGGCTCTGGTACTTTTCTCTCTTTGCTTCTATTCCTCTCTGAAAATCTCATTTGCTGAACACAACCCGACCTTACTTCCCCTCCTCCCCAACCCTCCCTCCCTCAGTCCATTTCTGGTTTACAGTGAAGGTTCATGTTACCAGATGCTAACAGCTGCCAGCTGGCCTATGCCTGTATTTTTCCTTCAACACTGGTGCTCTTATAGATGCTTCTCTCTCCTTCAACAGTATACAATAAGACCACAGTTGGACTACTTTTTATTGACAAGATGTGAGATGGTTGACGAGTGCTATTGCAGCCTGGTGAATGGCTACCCAACAAAGAAGCTTTGACCATGTAGTGAGCACTCTGTTACTTTGCTCAATGCCTTTTTTTCTTTACCCACAACGATTAGAGGTGTTTTAAAGAAAATCTTTGTTTTATTGCAACTTGAGTTATCACTTGTATTGGTGATAATAACATTGTACTCACCGATGTAATTGCTGAGATATATGAGTGCAATGCTGTCCCTTAAAATAGGTCTAACAAAACTACAAGCACAAGCAGTCAGAGGCTCACATAGCAGTGCATATTCCTGTTTTCTTGTACAATGAGGGGTTATTAGGTAAGATCCCATTGGGTTTTACCTCAGCAATTACTTTGGAGAGTACAATCTTATCAAAGACGATAGAACTGACAAACGGATGTACATGCATTTATCTTTTACTGGCTACACCGGCAGCGCACATACCGCGTAGGGTTTTGTGAGCATAGACGCAGGAAGTAGGGGTGATGTGATATAAAACTTTGGATCATGAAGCCTAATGTTTGTCTACAATTCTGTGGTTTATCAGTGAAGTGTCTGAACTACTCTGCAGTTTGCAGAAGTGAGTTTTCTGTCAATTTAAGATGTCACAATACTCCTCCCATCTTTCTTTATTTGCACTCTTGGGCATTATACCATTTCCCCATGATGCATTTTTCATGCATTTTTGACACTTCTTTCTAGAAGAAGGTACTTCTGCAACAGTACTTAATCTGCAAATTGCAAAACAGAACTCTTTGTGTTAAAAGCAGCTAGATATGGGTCAGGACATTATTTCCAAATGAGAATAAAACATGATCTTCTTGGGAACGAAGCTTAAGTGCAGTATTATGTCAGCCTTTGAGTATGCATCCGATATCCCAGAAGGACTTGTACAATTGCTTCATCTGTAAACACATGTGCACTTACAAGCTTCTTGCCTTGAGTTTACCTCTTCTAGTACAAACACACAGTGAGTACAGTACATTAAATGATTAAGTGCAAGCTTGCTGTAGCTCTGTTTGCATTAAATCCCACATCCTATTCTTACGATTACACACACAGGTGCCATGCAACTACCAGTCAACTCAGTGTGAGCTCCTTAGTTCAGATATCATTATCACTAGATTCCTCAGGCTGTGTCTCTTGGCAGTTCAGAAATGTTAGTGGATCAAAACTAAAAAATCCTGGGCTTGATGTCAGTGTGAGTTGCAGCCAAATTCTAACAGTGCTGGTAAATTCCACAGCAGAGTGGGTGGGGGGGGACCAGGAAGTAAAGGAAAAAACACCTTCTGTTTTCCCTGCTGGAATGTTAATGGCTGGTTTGACCTGTGGTAGACTGGCGCATGGCCCGGTTGGTTTCTCGGCAGGTCGGGTTTTGTTTGGTTCATTCTTTATCCATCTGTCATGTTGGTCAACTTCCTCATGGCGAGAAGGTCACCAGTTCAGAACCCAGGACATTATGGGGAGTGGTGCTGGGTAAAGTAACAATGTAACTCACATTTGTGAACAGGTAACAAAACAATACCTTTTCTGACACCTTAGTTTGGGCAATACGAAAAATGTTTCCATTGAACAAAATATTCCAAACTACTCTATGCATTAGTATTAAATGGAGAATGTTGATGATAAAAAAATATCTGGTCAAAGAACGAGCACACATGCCTACCAACATTCCAACCAAGCATTTTCAGTACTTGACATGTTTTGATTACAAATGCTACTGACATATTTTACTATCCACCCACTCTGCCAGTGTTATAGACTGCCATGTGCAGATATACAGTATGTCTCGAGGATGCATCCGTGGTAAACCTCCTTCCTTCAGCAAGCAATCAAAACATTATTAAGTTTATTCATTCAGATTAGGTTTTGACCATTAGACATACATTTATTGGGCAGTTATATAATAAAGGGCATACATTGTTACCATTCTGGTAGAACCCTGCATGAACAGTGAGTAAAGGAGTGGCATGGATTGAGGTCTTACTTTTACCTGAATAGTGACCTTTAAAAAAGCTTTTTTTTGGGTCTCTGTTATCTAGATTAAGTGGGAGAAAGCTTGATAAATGCCATGTAGCTGACAAGAGATAATCACGGATATTCACAGACGTGAATAGACGAGGAGGAAGGTTTTTGTTAACAGCAGTCCAGCATAGATTTAGATTTTTGATTTCTAGTGTTTATGGACAAAAATTCTCAGTTAAACAGATTCATTTCTGAGCAACCATTATTGGTCGAATCAGGCTTGCCTGGTCTTGTTTGTTAGTAATTATTGGGGGAGGTTTTGCTGAAGGTACTAATTGTTGTGGGAAGGTTAATGGAATGTGGTGGGGTAATTGTTTTGGGCAGGTTGTGTCTGAAAGACATACACTCCGTGCCAAAAGGGTCAGGATGTTCCACAACCAGGGTAGAAAAATAAAACATGTTTGGGCTGTAGTCACTTTAGTCCTGATACTTCAACCTTATTTGAAGATAAAAAAAAGCATCATTTGGAGGTCATGTGGTATTTTTGTAGCTGTTTGGGTATTTAATTGTGGGGGCTGATGTTTGGGATGCCACAGGAAGTAGGGGACAAAAAGAGATAATGTAATGTCCTGCACACACTGTCTCTGACAGTCCTAGTCAACCCCTGTCTTTCCATTATCTATTACATACTAAAGTAAGCTCTTTGTGAAGTGCCGTAAGTGCACAAAAATGAGTGCAAGAGGAGCCAGTGCAGAGACATTTGTACACACACTCCGTAGTGGTTACTTTGCTGTCTCGTCTTCAGCTTTTCATCTAGGACTAGCGTAGATAATACTTTTTAGTTCCAGCATTTTTTGTGATTCTTCTTGATCCTGCTAATTAAAATAATTACACATTATAGAATGATACTTTATAACATGCCTGTGTTCATTTAAAGCATACTGAATGTTATTTTTGTGCTTTACATTTGTATTTGCTGGTTAGATTTCCTTCCAAAAATAAAACAAAATCTCAATACCAAAAACTGGTAACCTTTTTATAAGAAAACAACCAATGTTTTTGCTGTTTATGCCCCCGGTGGTCCAGGTTATGATGACCAACTGGAAGCGGTGGGGGAGTTTTTCCATTCATTTACACATCCACAGGATGTCTTGAAGTCACTATTTCGGCAAGACCTTCATACTGTAATTATATCCTGTGTGCTGGCACAAAAATCAGTGTTTTCGTTTTGTTTAATTCCCAGAGATGTTTTTCAGTGACGAATAAAGAAAGACCAAGATAAGGATGTCCAAGGCCAAATAGCTTCGCTGGAATGTTCCCGATGCCAGAACCATTTCTCTTCCTAAAAGTTAACATCACTACCAAATATAATGGTTGTGACTAGAATACTGTCACAGCATGAAAAAGCTTCATTTAGTTGTGATACTGGTATACATTTATAATGTTGGCAACCATCATGGGAATCAGGTCTGTCATACTTAATAGTTCATAGTCTTTATGCTGTTTTTAGGGAGCTCCAGGGATGGCAGTGCTAGTCAGGCGCTCCACCACTTTGGTCCAAACAAAATATTTCAACAACTTTGCCACAAAATTTGGCACAGAAAGCATGGACGGGGTGAATCCTAATGACTTT